AGTTTTCCTGAATGGGTCCCAAGTATAAAAGTCTGTGGTACAGCAAAAATAAGTCTTTCATTGTAGATCTGGCAGCACCCTACACACAGGCAACTGCATGTGCTCATGAGGGGAACAGGGCACAGGGAAAAGTCCTGCGATGATAGGTTGCGTTCACTCCCACCTGATCTGGTCAACTCATTTCTGAATTTCTGCTACATTTCTATGCCCTTGGCTAATTAAATGGGAATTTACGGTGGGAGTGAGTGTTTGGGGTCTTTCCCTATCAATCCATAATAAACCGGAAACACTGTAGACTCTTTTTATAATTAATGTATTCATATAAACGTGTTATTGATTTCTTAATGAGTTTTTTGTCATTATGTGTTGTCTCAATAACTGCTACTGAAAGAATAATATGTTATACAATATTCTCCTGTGATAAGAATAGTGATTCTAGGATTTAGAATTTAGGGACTTTGACCATCCACTGTTCCACATGCTGGTGAGGTGAGAGTTGTTTTTGCATAACCAAGGAGAGGTTTTATTAAGCTAGTGATGAGGGTATCCCCAGCCCATTACCACCCAAAGGTTAGTTACATAAGCACAGATTAATCAGAAGAGCTGCCTTGCTCTGAGCCCTTCCTCAGCTCCTGTGCAATGTGGGTGTCTGTCCCCTTCTGTCCTGAGCCATGCATAGTGATAGTAGAGAAGGAGTTGTATGAAACTTGCCTGGGCAGCTGGCCTGAGGACACAGAGGCCAGGAAAAAGAAGTCAGCAAGTACTGAGCAAGGACTCAAGTTCCATTACTAAGACGAGTGCCAGAAGAGAACATGAGGGATGGGCAGAGGGGCAAAATAACAAGAGACAAGAGAACCTTCCAGGGTAGGAGGTACCAAAACAGAAGCCAACATAACCACTATTTTCCGTTATCCACACCAACACTGCCTTTAAATAAGATGCACATGTAGAATATCTCACATAGATTTGACATAAAAGATGCTCGACAAATACTAGTTCTCTTTCTTCTCCGCTAATCCCATCCCCTGCATTAGAGAGTTTTCAGCAAATCTATACCAAGCAGCTTCTATGAATGGCCAAGTGCCAGTTACTGGAAATAAAAAGACAAAATACTAGTTAATCTAGTTATATCTAGTTAAGTAACCTAGTTAAAATAATTTTGAATAAAAAAAATAAACAAAATAGCAGGAAAAAGACTGACCACTTAGGTGTTTTCTCTATACAAATTTTTCCTCTTATTGGAGTTGGTGCCTGCCTCCTTGTTAATAGCCACAACTTAGAAAACTATGAAGGAAACTAATTCCTCAAATGTCCTATTTTTCGAGAGGAGGAGGGTATTAAGGATAAAAATGATGTACCTCATAGGAGATACTGTATCAAAGAGGCCTTGTTCATTGCAATGAATTAATGCACAAAGCACAAGTGATTCTGGTGCTCCTACCCGCATATATGGAATATTCTAATCTAATACAAAGGTTTATTAAAGTAATTTTCTTGGAGAAAAATCTGTGCACGCCATCTTTCTCACATCCATTTCCCTCAGTTACCTAGGCGGCCCTTCCACAGGACGCTTGTCCAGTTTACTCAGGTGTGAGGAGACGGCCCCCATGACGGCTGTACTTTGCAGGAAGTATACAATTTATGAGTAATAGCCCACTGTTTGCTTTGGAGAAGAAATAAGTTTTGAAGGCCCCCAAGTTCAAAACCGTATTACTATTTATTGTACATAGCTCTTTGTTTTTTCCTTACAAACATCTGTGCAACAGTCACATAAATGGGTTAGGAAGACATCCAATGGAACCTTCAGAAATAGAGTCAGAAAATAGTTCACACTGGATCACGGCAAAGGGTGGTCAAGCACCACAACACTACACACACAAACACATGTGCACACACACATGCACAGAGGAATAAAACCTTACATTTGAAAGATAGCAGATGCCATAAAAGATGTTTTTGACAAAAACACTGAAAAATACATACTAAAATTTAGATTACATAACAGAGATTAGCCGTGCACTCCATTCTATCTTTAAAAATTTGAAAGCTACCTATTTTTTCAAATATTACCTTTCTAATTACAAAGTGTGCTTACTGACTGATGGAAGAGCGCATGATAATAAATCAGATGAAATTTTTATACCATTATGCAGAATGATTTTACACCCACAGCTTAGTAACATTGAATAAGCTATATTTAAAATAATTTATGGCTTTAAAGGAAGAGTAGAATTTGACTTAAAATGGTCCTTTTTTATGCAAAAGGCAAATAATTGGAAGAAACAAAAAAATAAGGGAAACAAAAACCCGCAAGTGAATAAAAATGGAGATCCTACTGAAGTAACTGCAGCTTTGTACTTCATTTCACCCAAATTGTACAGGCATCCTCTCTTCTGGAAAACGACTGTGTCAGGCTGCCAAGTTAGCCTGGACTTTACAGCATTCGTTGCTATGATTCAGCAATTGCCCATAACTCCCACGTAATCAAGGAATGGTTGACAGCATAGACAAACCACAGTTCCGACTGGAGGGAGCATGTCCCCTAGCATTCATAGTTTACACAAAGAGAAATACTTGAATGAATCTGAACTTTTTTATGCTTGAAAAGGAAAGAACATTTAATGCAACAGGGGCAATCACAACGTTCTTAGCCAAAGTCGCCAGATTCTATGAATTCCCTCCAGTTAGTTGTCAAACATTTTGGGGAGGAATCCATGCTTGGAGTCTAATTAAAGAATAATGGATAAGTAATAGCTGTCAGGAATATATTTCAGAAATCCAGTATTCACAGGGCTTCCCCCTAGAGGACTTTGCAAAGGTAATTTACGAACATTAAAATTTTTCCCTCATAGGAAAAATGGCCACATGTAGTGTTGTAAATTAGATCATGTTTTCCCCACCCTTTACAAAGTACACCAAGCTTAAAGTGCGTCTGCAGGGCAGAGGAATTTCTAAATCACCTCAAAGTCAAATATTTTCTTTTTCATCATCATTTATGAAACACATTAGTAACATAAACCTGACTGAGCCACACGTCATCGTTAAGAGGAATGAGGTCCTGATTAAACACTTGGATCTCTTTAATAGCAACTTCAGTATAATCATCAGTAACCACAGAGCTGTGGAATATTAAAATAGGAATGTATGATCTCAAGCATAGCTCTAGATGAACACCTCTAGCACCATTCGAGATTTGGGGTTTGGAATTCAACAAATAATAGAGTATGGGCTGAAAAGGCATTTACAGTCCAGCACCTGCTGCTCATTAACTCAGTCTATTTGGGCAGGGAATTGGAGTGCTCTGAACTTGGGGTTCTTATCCTTGAAGCCGGGATAACACTACTCACGGGGCCCAGTCCACGTAGGATTGCAGCACCAAAGCCAGCAGCAGCAGCAGTAGTAGTAACGCAACTTTCATTTTCTGGAATGAAGGGCTTCTCCGTACCATGGACTGGGAACAACACGGTGAGGTAAGCACGCTGTTTTTGTAGGTGAGGAATCTGAGGCTCAGAGATAAGAACTTGCACAAGGCTGCACACGTGTCACTGGCAGAATCTGAGTGTGAACACCAACTACCTTGACTCCAGAGGTCATGACCTCGTTCACATCTCAAAATGCTTTCCCATGTGTCATCTAATGAAGTAACGCTATTGACTGCAGGTTGTAAATGGCAAAGCATCAAATAATGCAATGCAATGTATCATTACCGTATTCTTTTAAAGTTGCTAAAATGTATTTTCGGTTGAATACATAATACTATTCTTAGCAAGAGCCCATCGACTCAAGAAACTAAGGAAAAAGCATGAATGAATATTCAACTTGAGACCTAAAACAATGGAAAATAACTTTGAAATAGATGTGACCATTGGTGATGTCACTTTGTACATCTGCACATTCATACACATCTGCACAGAGCCCCAACCCGCAAACATCAAGTATCTCTCAAGACGCCAATGGAAATTAAATCATTAAAAAGCAGAGAGATTTGCTGGGAATAGGTCATGGCTCCCCAAGCCCATACTGAGACCTGGCAGGCTGCTCCTGGGAGCTTATGAGAGACACAGGCCAAGCATGTTAGGTTGCAAACATCTGTGGCCAAGCCTCCCAGGGATAGCAAAGGGCAGCAAGTTAGCAAAGCTGCGGTTGACATGATGTTTAGGTTCCTTCTTGACAACCAAAAACAATTCTGATGAACTGGAAAGCTAACAAGGGCATAGCAATCATCTCTATATTGTCATATTTTTTCTCAGTATTAAAATAAAGGAAAGATTCCATTCATCAAGGACAGGTAAAGCAAATTATAGTTAAATTCACATGTTATTTAGTTGTAAACACTTTTCCAAGAAATATGTTCAGTCCTGAGCAAAATGGAAAAGGCAGGAAAAAACTGATCTCCCTCCTTCTCTTCTACATTTCTGCTTTTCTGAGATTGTCCTCACCCCTCCCAGGGCCTCCATGCTGTCCCCAGCTTCTCCCATCTCAGGTGGCAAGGCCACAAGCATTCAGGATCAGCCTCCCTCTCCCTTTACTGTGTCGCTGCTCTTTGCTTCTTCTGGAGGAGACGAAACAGAACCCCAAGGCCAGATTGCAAAAGTGCACGGATTAAACACTGCATGATCTCAGGTGGTGCTTTCACATCACTCCCTTCCCAGAAACGATCCTCGTCCTGGATATGTGCAGTGCACAATCTGTCCAACCATACTCAGCAGCCCTGTATACAAATCCCAAACCAAACAGGCATAAAGAGTTTCATTCATTCATCTGCTCATTCACTCATTCAACTCAGTAAATATTTACTGTGTCTAGTATGTGCCAGACACTGATGGGTCTTGGGCAAATACTAGTGAATAATAACGTACAGTCCCTGCCCTCAAGGAACTCAGGGTCTGGACATGTCAACAATGAGTAACATTACAGAGCAGAGCATGCTAGCCCTGGAAGGGGTACAGGAGGGAATTCCTATGGAGTCTTGGCATCAGGGAAAGGAGAGCAGGTCTTACCACATTTGGGTTGACCTTATGTCGAAAACATGTGATGTTCACGACGTATGGCCAGTCGTCAGGCTCCATCAGCACCCCAGCCGCATGAGCACATGTAACGTGGAAGGAGGCTGGGCAGCGGCCATAGGAACACTGGATACAGGCTCCAGAGACCTTCTTTACCCGGTGTCTGCAGAAGATGCATTTCTGAAGGGTTAAAACAAAGAAGAGCATCAATTCCAACTCTGTAACTCAGCCAATTTCCACACTTTACAGAATAATAGCTATTAGAGATGATTCATCAATAAGTCTTGACCCTCCAGGGGCCCCAGTGGTGACAGTGACTGTGGCAATATAAGCTGCGTACTTCAAGGAAACACACGACTGTGGCCACATACTACCAGACACATGTTGAAACACTTCTTGTGGTTAGGAAAGCCAAACCTTTTGCACATGCTTCTCTAGGCCCGAGCTGAGGAAAAGGCCCCAAGGGTGCTCCTGTAAATCACCCATGAATGCTGAAGCCACTTCTCTTTTACCTCCCACATACAGGTCTCTCTGTACATCAAGCGATAGAATATGGGTTTGGAAGACAGGCACATACTCGCCTAAGTTAGAGGAGGTCTTCAAAAATACCCAAATAGCACACAGATGGGCTACATCTTCCATTTACAAGGAAATGGAAAGTGTTAAATGGTCCAATGTGGAAATGAGGAGCTCAAGTGTTTAATAATCCAAATCTGAACCCTTCATGACTGACACAAAAATATGCCTCCCAAAGTGAGAAAATTGAAAATCACCCCAAAGGGCACCATTCTGGTGAAGATCTATAGCTGACTATGCCTGGGGAAGAGAGCGAAATGAAACAGCAATGATGATTACCGCAATCCAAAAATTAAATTGCATACAATTAGCCCTAAACACCATCAGTACATTTGTCATGAGAGAAAGGAAAAATCTAACAGCTTCACTAAATGTAAGATTTGTGAACTAATACTTGAGGGGTGGCAGAAAACGGCTGCAGATCAACACAGGGTCAGGTTTGGAAAGCAGAAGAAACAGGATGACCAAAAAGCTCGACTTTTCATCCCTAAGGGTAAAAAAGGTCTGCAGTCTGAGCAAATACTGGTGCAACTGCTCTTCTTTTACAGGTACCTTTTCCTTCCTGGGACAAAAAAGGTACTTAAACTCCATGCCTTTGGGGGACCGTAATATTTTATCACAGACCTGCAAGAATCAATGTGCACTTGACTTCTAACTCCTCTCTGCCCTCACATCTGATCAGAGACTTCAGTGTTATAGATTCTGTACCTTAACCCTGCTCTGATCTCTCCCTACCCATCTGTACCAGCGCCACTGCCTCTGCCCATGGTGTCCTGCCCAGCAGAGCAACGGCCTCCTAACTGGTCTCTCCAGCTTTTACGTCATTCCATTCACTTCATCTTCCCCAGCCCTGCCAGAATGATCTCTTTACAACATAAATCCCATGTCACACCCCTGCTTGACGTCCTTCGATGGCTTCTCCTTATCTCCAAGACATTACAGAAAAAAAAGAAGAGCATGAGATAGAAGAGGAAGCTGCTAGAAGGTCCCTCATGGTCCCTCCAAGTAGTCTTATTTCTTACTACTCCACATAAGGGCCCTACACTCTGGGCATTTAGCTGATCTTCCTATACATCTGGATTCAACGTACAATTAACCATTTTTAAGTGGAAGTTAAGGATTTGGCTTAGCTGATTAAGAAATTACAGAGAGGGACTGGCCTGGTGGCGTAGTGGTTAGGTTTGCGGGTTTGGATGAGGGTGCAGACCTGCACACTGCTCATCAGGCCATGCTGTAGTGGTGGCCCACGTACAAAAAAATAGAGGAAGCCTGGCACAGATGTTAGCTCAGGGACAATCTTCCTCCAGTAACAAGAGGAAGATTGGCAAGAGATGTTAGCTCAGGGCCAATCTTCCTCATAAAAAAGAAAGAGAAAGAAAGAAAGAAATTACAGAGAGAGAGTGAGAGCCACAGAACTAAAACAAAATCCATTATATTCTGAATAAAAGCATTACTTAATAACCTATCTTGACATTTCTTTGGCAATTCTTGGTATCAGTTTCAATACATTCTTGGTATTTTTTTGGTATTTTGGTATCTTTTCGTCCATTTCAATCATTTGAAATGTGATGGCAGACGTAATAGCAAAAACTCATATCGGGAGCCCCAGGCATAATCAGAGAATCTTTTAAGAGCCTAATCATACTATACAGAGGTCCGTGTTTGAATAAGTTCAGATACTGACAGATGTATAAAAGGAGAAACTGTTTCCTATTTTCTTCATTAAATAGGATTTTTTAAGAATAGGAAAGAGTATTATGACTTAGCTAATTAATGCATTGGTAACTTTCAGCCTCTTGCACCACTGACTTCCTCATTAAACAGAGGCCTTCCTGAAAGGGGGAAGAAGACAGAGAGAATTCCCTTCAGCCCAGAGAGGAACCAATCTTTGGAATTTAGTAAGGGAAGTGTCCTCCTTTCTGAGGAAGACCAGAGGTGGTCACTTCTAAGGACAGAACCAGCATCCTTAGAAAGTCAACCTAACTGGAGACTATTGTAATTCCATGCTTTGGAAGATGTTAGTTCACAGAGTGCAATTTTGAGTTAAACAAAAAAAAATCTGTTCTTGCAGAGATAGAGAACTCCATAAAGTCTAGCAGGAGGGCCATTCTATAAGCTGAAGTACAGTCTACATAGTACTTCCTAACCCCATTTTCAGTTGCTTGCTACTAAACCAGTAGTTCTCTACCCTGGCTGAAACATCTGTGGCAATGTGACACCTACACATGTCTGGGCTACAGAATTTAATTCGGTAGAGCACCGACTAGGACAAATAAGACACTTCTTAAGAATGTGACAGTGGAATAAGCACTATGAAAGAAGTAGGGACAAAATGCCATACGGAACCAAAATGACTGGTGCAATGAGCCCTGCTTGGGGCAAGAGAGGGAAGAAGGCTTTAAAGAAACACAATGACTGACTGGATCAAGATGGCAGACTTAGCCCCTGCTACCACCGCTCCAGCCCCAAACCCTAAATAAAGATATAGGAAAAAGAATGAAACCTTAGTAGCCCTGACTAACAAGAAAGGGTGCAACTCACTCCAAGGACCAGATCCGCAGCGAAAAGCTATGAGTAGGTATCTCGGAGGCAGAGTTCTGGCAAGAACAGTGCCAAGAGTGGAAGCGAATTCCTAAAAGACAAGCTAGCCACTGTTGGGCCAGCCCCATATCCCACCCTGCCCACGACCATCATTATCAGGTGAGGTTACCTGATCTGTTCTGAATCTGCGTCCTGCGATCTGACCTATCACTCACCAACAAGACAAGTGAGTTCTCACTGGGCTGAGGAAAGAGCAAGTGCACCCAAGACGTGCAATTAAAATACCAATAGATACTTTAAAAATTACAAACATTTGAGGAAAACTAACGATATGAGACAGAATATACAAATAGAAGAATATCTGACTTAAGGAGTCAGGTAAGTGGAAACAGAAGACAAGTTTAAAAGAGGTACAGTACGTATTATGATAGAGTCCAAAATACATCCCATCAATTTTAAAAAACAGTAACAACTACATAGTCAGCTCTAAGAATTAAAAAATATTATTATCAAAAAAAATCAAGATGTGCTGAACATTAGAATGGATCTCAATGAAGATCAAATGAGCAACTGGAAGACGGAGCCCAGAGATTGTACAGAACATAGAAGAAAATATCAGAAAGAAGGAAAATGGAACACAAATGCTAAGCAGTATGCAGAAGCAATCCAGATGTTCTATTATCTTTCTAAAAGGCATTCTAGAGAAACAGAAATAGAGAAAATAACAGAAATTTCCCAGACATGAAAAAAAGCCCAAGTAAGATTAATTTTTTTAAAAGATCACCTAAACACATACTAGACACATCTTAGACCTTCAAATAAGAAGAGAAAATCCAAAAATCTTCCAGAAAAGAGAAACTTAGGTTACCATCAGACCTCTAACCTGCAACAGTGAATGCTCAAAGACAATGAAACGACGTCTTCCAACTTCTGGAGGAAAATTAAATTTGGTCTATATCTGGCCTAATTATTGTTCAAATGTGAGGGCAAATATAATTATTTTTTCTTTTCATTTTCGATATTCAAGGATCAGAAATACGCATGAAGAAGTGAAGAGCAACCAAAATGCTAAATATGTAGATACATCTAAATGAATATTGACTTTATAAATAATAATGATGATGTCTTCCGGGCTTTACATACAGAGAGAATTTAAATAGATGACGATAGCAACATATAAGGTGGAAGTGGTACAACTGAAGTTTAAAATGTTCTAAAATCTTGAATTGTCCAGAAAAAGGATAAAAGAAAAAAACAGTAAAAGGGAAAATAACAAATTCAAACAAAGACAAGAAAAGAAGGACATGGAAACAGAACAGATAGGAGTAAAGGGAAAGCACATTGTAAATTGGTAGAACTAAACCCAAATATATCAGTAATTATGTTACGTGTAAAAACACAAAACTTTACCTTACAGACCAGGTGTAGCAAATTTTTCTTAAAGTGCCAGATAATAAATATTTGAGGCTTATGGGCCATACAGTCCCAGTGGCAACTACTCAGCTCTGCCACTGTGCTACAAAAGCAGCCACAGATAATCCGCAAAGGATGGGTGTGGCTGTGTTCCAACAAAACTTTATTTACAACAACATGCACACCCCTTAGTTTGCTGACCCCTTCTATAGGCCATGGGTCTCTATTTGAAGTCAGTAATTCTATCATTTCACAGCTTAACTATGTAAGAAAGATAATCTAGCAGCAAGGTGGGTAAAGGACAGACTGGTGGGAAATGAAACTATTAGGAAGCCACGGAAAGAAATAGAAGGCAAAGGATAACGAAGAATTGGACTAGGGAAGTGGCTATTAGTAGGAAGGTAAATTTTGAGTGTTTTTTACTCTTGTTAGCCTTTATTCACAGAGATTCTCTATCTTCCTCTAAATAGAGCTACTCACTCAAGGTCAGGGTTGGACAGCTGTCTTCTGTGGGAAAGAACCTCTGTAGCAGCTGCCTAAAGTCTTCAAATGGACGAGGGTAGAGGCGACATCAATTTCTAGAGGGACAGGGATTGAAGGGAGCTTGTGAACAGTAAGATTATCGCACATTTAAAAGCACGGAAGGTTCA